CGTCTCCTTCCCATTCTGGGGAATGCTCTGCCCTCTGCTCCTGGTGGCCCCTGTCTCCATCCCATTCTGGGGGACGCTCTGCCCTCTGCTCCTGGCAGCCCCCGTCTCCGTCCCATTCTGGGGGATGCTCTGCCCTCCACTCCTGGTGACCCCCATCTCCATCCCGTTCTGGGGGACGCTCTGCCCTCTGCTCCTGGCGGCCCCCGTCTCTATCCTGTTCTGGGGGACGCTGTGCCTTCCGCTCTTGGTGGCACCAGCTTCTGGCTCTCCAGCTCCTACCTCTGCCCCCACCAAGTCTCCTTCCAGTCCCATAAATTCACCAAGGGCTTAGGGAGGGTCCCCTAGGGAAGACACGTTTCTCCTGCCCCACAAAGGGTTACGCTCCCCCCCACCCCCACAGAGCAGCTACCCCCTGGGGGAGGTCTGCCCTCCTTGTAGAGACATAACAGAAGAAAAGCCTGGCTCCATCCTGGAGACAGAAGTGAGAATTGTTTCCCTGCTAGGAGCCAGCCCTGCCCCTCTCTTCAACAACAAACAAAAGGCCATATGACCCTTCTTCTGGGTTGCCCTAGTCAAGGGAAAACAATATCTTGGCTTTGCATTGTTATTTCTCCCACCAAAACTGTGGGGACAGGAGGGGTCGCAAAGGAAAGAGGTGGTCAGAAGAAGGAACGGTGGTGTTGCTGGGGGGCTGGCCCGGGAGGCCCGCGGGCGGGCAGGTGGCCGACTCTCCCGCCTTGCAGGGAATGAGGTGATCGCAGTGGATTGGAAGGGCCTAAAGGATGTCGACCAGATCCCCATGGACAGCACCAGCTCACTGCAGGGCAGTAGCCTCCACCGACCATCCACGGAGGTGAGCCCACCTCACTTCCATCCTCAGAGACCTTGAGAAACCCCAGGAGCCCACGTGGGCAGTGGTCCCAGGCTCTAGCTGCCTGACCCTCCCGTTGTTGTTGGTGCCAATTTGGACTTGTAGCAACACCATGGGACAGAGCAGAACTGCCCCACAGGGTCTCCTGGGCTGTAATCGTACTGAGAGCGAATCTCCGGGTCTGTCTCCCGCAGAGCTGCTGGGTGGGTTCGAACCGCGAACCTTTCAGTTAGCGGCCGATTGCAAACCATTGTGCCACCAGGGCTTCTTATCCCTCAGTTAGCCCCCTAAATTCCAAGGCAACATCCCAAAGGCTGCTACAGACCGACACCTTCACAGAACATTCTCCCAGTTCCCTCGAACATTCCACCCCGAACCCCATTCCCTGCTGCTCTCGGGAAAGCCCTCCCTTCTTCACCCTTTGAGGAAACCCCTCAAGGGAGGTGGGGTCACTTGGGCTGCCTGAAGTGCCCGGAACACCCATGCCCTTGTCTTCTGCCCTCACAGCAAACCCGGACAGAGTTCTCCTGGGATGCCATCAATGTGAGTGCAGCCCCAGCCCCCAGTCCCCACCAACTCCCCTTCACCTTCATAGAACACAGTGTGCACCCCAACTGTCTCCCGGGCCCCATAATCAGGGCACTTGGGGAATGTGCCTCCGATGGACTCTTCCTATCACCTGCCCTGGTTCATCTCTGCTGGAAGCCATGGACCCTCCCCAATATATAAAGCACCCTGTACCCCCTTATTCCTCTGCCCTCTTCCCACCCTCCCCACCAGCTCTCCATGGAGGACACCACTTCTATCCTCCCGAAGCTCAAGCGAAACTCGAATGCCTATGGCATCGGGGCCCTGGCCAAGTCATCGTTCTCAGGTAAGCCTCCGCCCTGGGGGTGCCCTAGCCCGGAGAGCACCCCAAGGCTCCTCTCTCCCTGCTCCTTTTGGCCATCCCACACCCTGGACCCGTTTTTCCTTCCCACCAAACCTTCTCCCACCCCCAGGCTGCCCTCAGATGTGGAGTCCTGGGGATGCCTGCCCCTATGAAGGGTGGGGTGCCGGTGATGGGGTGGGAGGGTCTGGTATGGGTATTGTGAGCTATTCGGGATGGTATGTGATTGTCTGGCTCCACAGGGATCTCACGAAGCATGAAGGACCACGTGACAAAACCCACGGCCATGGGTCAGGGCCGAGTGGCCCATATGATTGAGTGGCAGGGCTGGGGGAAGGCCCCAGCCATCCAGCCCCAACATAGCCATGAGGCCGTGCGTAGGGACACGGATGCCTATTCCGACCTCAGTGATGGCGAGAAGGAGGCACGCTTCCTAGCAGGTACTTCTACCCCAAGCCCTCGAGGAACACAGTTTTGGGGTGACCAGAAGATGACTCACCAACCTGATCCCCCATAGTGGGGTGGCCCTACCCATATGGTGGCCTACATCCCCTACACAGCCCTACTTCCAGTATTTGACTTGTTATTCTGATGTCACCAACTCATTATCATCTCCAAAAATGATCATTGGAGTGGGATAAAAAGTACACCTGTCCCAGATGCCTTCCCTCCTACTTGGTGAGACTGTCCACCCCTGTCCTCTCATAGCGAAGGAAACAAAGGCAAGGCCTTAAACTCCAAAAAGCTCTGTTCCTACTAATGCTTCTTGCGAAAAAGAGGAAGGCTGTGGGGATCTCTTCTGGCCTTCGCCCGCTTACTGGACCTAATGCTTGTGACCACGAGAAGCTCAGGGACCTGGGTGATGAAGGGTGGTCTCCAGGAGAAGCTTAGTTCCAGGGAAGTGGTCTAGATAGGATGACAGGCACATAGTGTCCCCACAAGGGTGGAGGACTCTAGTGCAGGTCTCAATAAGGCACCAAGGAAGGGTGGTAGGTCCGGGGAGAGAAGGGAGGTGATGTGTTGGTGGTGTGGATGGTGGGATGGATGGAGAGGAGAGAGAAACATTGGGGACAGGTATGGCAGCTAGCAATGCAAGCTTCAGCTTACTCTTAGCTCTGACTAGAGTAGGGACCCCCAAGTCTATCCATCTTCACTGTTCTGCTCTCCCCGCTCCTTCCAATCCCTTGAACTTTCAACTTCACATCACCATGGACCCACAAACCCATGATGCCCCTTTGGGGATTCTCCGTTGGTCTTGAAACCTCTAATCTAGATTCCGCTGCCCTGGGCTTCCCAATACTAGCTACCATTCCTAAAAACCTCCCAAGATAAAACTTCTGGAAATCCCTAATTTCTATCCCTTAGGAGATCTCACTAGAAGACCCCCCCAACTGTTTACCCTAGGAATCCTAAATCTGGCCTTCTGGGAAGGCCCCACGATTTGCCTTGTTTCGGGGCGTAAACAAAGGCCGCACTGCCCAGTACAGTGGCCAGCGGCCTCCTGTGGCCGCACCAAGTGGAGCTGTGCCGTGAGTGTGGATACCCGCCGGATTGCAAAGATGTAGTAGGAATAAGCGACTGTAAACTATCTCGTTGACTATTTTTATATCGATTACACGTTGAAATGTATGTATATGTTGGGTTAGATAAAATATATTGTTGTTAGTTTCACCTGTTTCTCTTTAATGTCCTTGAACATGACTCCGAGAGAATTTAGGAGGACATGAGTGACTCGCGTCCCGCGTCTGTTGCGCGAAGGTGCCGCCCTGTGCGTGGTCCAGGGGCTGGCGGCGGCACTCTTCATGACTACGTCTCTCCTCTCAGGTGTGATGGAGCAGTTTGCCATCTCTGAGGCCACACTCATGGCCTGGTCTTCCATGGATGGTGAGGACATGAGTGTCAACTCCACCCAGGAGCCACTGGGCTGCAACTACAGTGACAACTATCAGGAGCTGATGGAGAGCCAGGGTGAGGGCGCTTCCTGAATCCAAGGCTGGAGGCCTCCGAGCCCCCTTCCCTCTAGGGAGGGGACGGCCACCCCTCAGTGTCCACCCGCCTCGGCACTGGCCCTTTCTGTGTCCCTGCCCTCCCTGCTCTGGGCCCTGGGGTCTCACCCTGCGTTCCCGGGCTGCTGCTCTGCCAATGGCACTGGTCCCCCTGACCCCTGCTCTCTTTGCAGATGCCTTGGCTCAGGCCCCCATGGACGGCTGGCCTCACTCCTACGTGTCCCAAGGCATGTACTGTCTGGGCTCCTCGGATGCCTGGGAAGCCAGTGACCAGTCCCTCATTGCCTCTCCGGCCACGGGCTCCTACCTCGGCCCCGCGTTCAATGACTCGCAGCCCAGCCTGCACGAGATGGGGCCCTCCCACACCACCTTAGGCTGCTCGGCCCCGGAGCCGCCTTTGCTAGGGGTGGACACTGACTGGGCTCCGTGCGGGGTCGTCATGGACCTGGCCCGGGTCCCTGCCGAGGAGGAGGAGGAGGAGGAAGAGCGGGAGGAGGGAGAGAGGAGGCTATTGGCCCCCGAGGAGGAGGAGGACGCGGGGTGCCGGGACCTGGAGTCGCTGTCCCCACGGGAGGACCCTGAGGTGTCCACTGCCCTCAGCCGGAAGGTGTCGGACGTCACGTCCTCGGGAGTGCAGTCCTTCGACGAGGAGGAGGGTGAGACCAACAACTAGCCCTCAGGGCCTGCCTCCCGCCTGGAAGGCTGCACTGCCCCCTCCCCTGCCGTGCACTGACGGTGGATGGCCGCACCACGGGGAGAGTGGGGGCCAGCAGGCATGCCCTCCGAGCGCTCTGGACACCACGGGAACCAAGACCCCGACCACGGCACGAGTGGCCTTGGCGTGACTGCGGGCCGTGGGCTGGGCCCGGCACCCGTGGGCTTGGCCCCAGTCTCTGCCCACCGAGTCTTCCAGGAGCCCTGCCTGCGGCTGCCAGACACCTCCTGCTCCGTCGCTCTCGCTTCTCCAGACTTGGCCTTGTCTCTGGCTGTGGCCCTGGCTCCGTGGGCACGGCAGCCCACTGCAGGGCTGTCTCCCTTGAGGGGAAAACCTGCCCTCGGCGTCAAGTGGGCTGCTGAGGCCAGGGGTCCAGGGTTAGGGGGGCCCTGGCCACAGGGTTTCAGGGACAGGACAGTCACAGTGGGCCCTGTCCAGGATCTGACCATCCTTCAGCTGGAAGGCAGGTCCGTGGATCTGCAAGGACCCCCAGCTGGCTGCCTGCCTCTGCTCCCCTTCTGTCCCCCAGGCCTGCTCTGGGTACCCCGGCCCCGGGGGTGGGGTACACCAGCCCCAGCTTTGCCGCCTTGGAACGCAGGTGTCCTGGCCAGGGGTAAGCATGAGGGCTGTGTCCCCCGCCCTCCCCCAACTCTCTGGAGCTGTTTACACTTTTCTCTTTGCCTTTTCTACATTTTTATAACTTCTTGGGGACTCAGGGTTGAGAGGGTGGAGGGCGGAGTCGGTGCTGCCAGGGCCGCAGCTGGCAGGTGTCCCCAGGAGCGGTGTGGCCCTCGGCTCTTCCTGCCACTTGGACTCCTCCTTGGTCTCCCCAGGGCCGCCCAGGACTCCAGCCCAGTCTCAATGGCAGGGGACAGTCTTGGCCTCTGATGGACCCCCTGCCCTGCCGGCTTTGGGAGAGTTTGGGAGGAGAGGGGGAAAGAGAAGCCTAAAGAGGTTCATCACCATTTCCTCCCCGTTTCTGTGCACCCATCCGAGGCTCCAGCTCCGACTCCGTGTGCCCTCCCCACCCAAACCCCCCAGTGTCTGTCTGTCAGCTGTGTACTCCCTCGAGGCCCCACACTGGTATTTCTTTGGAATGAGAAGCTTGAGTGTTGAGCTGTTTCTGCCGTTCTGTGACACACCCACCCACCCCCTTTCACAGACACACACGCTCCTGAGATGCACCCGGGGCTGGGGTCCTGGGTCCTGAGGGGTCTTGAAGGAAGTAGGAGTGGGCGTGGTGAGCAGAGGTGGGTGCACAGCCATCACCTCATCTGATACTGCCTGAAGAGTGTGTTGGGCGCAGCCGGCCCGGGACCCCGCTTCTGGGAGCTCCAGGCAGTGGTCCGGCCTGCCCACTCTGGCCGCTGTCCCCCACCTGAGGCTCCTGCCGCCCCCTCCCCTTGTCCAACGCATCACCTCTCCCTTTTCGCCTTACCCCTCATGCCTGCCATCCGCCTCAGACTCACAGTGGGTGACTGTCTACCACAGCCCTGCTTGCTCAGGGCCTGGGGGCTGAGGAAGGGGGGCTGCAGCAGTGGCTTCCCGCCCTCCCTTCCCCAAGAAGCAGGCAGTCCCCTGGCGGATGGTCCAAATAGGTGGGGCTCGGTGTCACCGGGCGCTCACTTGGGGGGATCTTCGTCCTGATGGAGCTGGCCTTGCTGAGGGGGGTAGGGCAGGAGAAGGCCTTCTGGACTCTTCTGAGAGAGGGGCGCCCTCTGGTGCTGGGGAGGGGTGCATGGGGTTTTGCTTATACTTTCGGGGGAGGGGGCATGTGCAGGACAGCTGTTGGGGTCGGGGGCTGCTTCCCTTTGGGGTGAGGCTGTGCGGCCCGTCTCATGGCAGTCCTGACGGGGCTGTTTTTATATTCTTGTGAATGAAACTGCTCTTGCTAAATGATTTTTGTTGCGGGGACGGGGTTGCACTTTTAATCAATTCACTTTATTAAAACAAAGTCCAAATCTTCCATCCCTCCCCTTCCCACCCCCCTTTCCTTCTGATCCTTGTGCTCAGGCGGGATCTCAGGGTGCGTTTCTCGCCCCACCACACCCCGCCTCTACCTCCCTTATGCCGTCTTCCAGGTCTGGGGACACTCAGTTTTAGAACCAGTCTTCGCATGGTTGTTACTGCGACATTCCCACCCAGCCGGAGAGACTATGGCATGTATCACAGAGAGACGTCTATGTCAATATATACAAATATTCTCGATTATGTACACACAGGCATGGGCTGGAAGCCCCTGCCAGACCCCTGCCCAGGCCAGCCTCTGTTGGCCTGGGGGGAGTGTGAGGTTGCAACGGGCGGCGGCTGTGTTCATGGCACTAAACAACGTGGTGGCATCCTCTGGCTTGTGTGTCTCATTTGGGGATGGAGGTGCCTGGGCACTGCGGGGAGGGGAGGGGAGGGGCACAGCGCAGAGCCGGACAAACATAATGGGTGGGTGGGGGGCGGGTGTGGAAGGAGGGGTTCCAGATGCTGTGAGAACCTGCATCACCCATGGAGAGCGCAGAGTAATGGCTGCACCACCGAGCAGCCCCGTCGCTGATGCTGTGGGAAGAGGCTGTGGCTCCCCAGGTGGGGAGCACCTAGCGGACCTCCATCTAAACTCCCAAGCCTCCACCCCGGAAGAGGACCGTGAGGAGCTGTCTCAGAGAGGGGCTGTGGCTAAGTGGCCTGGTTCCTGGCGGGAAGCCCCAGCGAGAGCAGCTCCAGGGCCTTGGGCTGGACGAGTGCTTGGGTGGTGCAAACAGTTAATGCGCTCAGCTGCTAACTGAAAAGTTGGAAGTTCTAGTCCACCCGGAAGCACCTCGTAAGAAAGGTCTGGTGATCTCTTTCCAAAAAGTCAGCCATTGAAAACCCTGTGGAGCACAGTTCTACTCTGACACACATGGAGTCTCCATGAGTCAGCGTCAGCAACAGCTGGTGACCTGCAAACCAAGGCAGATGATGTGCAGTGGGGGGTTCCGCAGTAAGGGGGTTCCGCCACAGGGGTTCAGTGACGTCTGGTTAGTTTGGATGTGAGGCAGTCAGACACCTGCTCATCTCCGATGCACATCCCACTGCTGATGCAGGACAAAGGAGGGGCTGCGGAGAGCCTCCGGCTCCTCAGTCATGGCCTTGACCTGGGGTCGGCAGCTGGGGAGGGGTGGGGTCTGCAGGGACTTGTGGGACATGGAGGCCTGGCACAGGTCATTCTGGGCTGTCTGTCCCAGAAGCTGGGTTCCACTCGTCCATGAGGCATCTGTCCAGTGGTCACTGGGCCTCCCTTCCCCTGCCCTGTGGACCAGAGAACAAGGAGGCACAGCCACGCAGGGGCTGGACAGGAGCTATGGGGGGCCGGGGGTGTCAGGGAATGCCGGCAAAAGCCTCAGGAATCCCTGTGGAGGATGGGGCTCTTTGCTGGGGGCAGGACCCCCATTGGGCTGTGAGGGGTAAAGGCCAAGCCATGACAGGTGCTGCGGCCCAGTCCTGCCCTCCCCCAGACTAGCACTCCCCCACTTACAGCTCCTTGAGGGGCCAGGGTGAGGGATGCCCTCCCCCAGACTAGCACTCCCCCACTTACAGCTCCCTGAG